AGAGTTGATTAAATCAATAAACAGTTAATAATAGAGTTGATTAAATCAATAAACAGTTAATAAGAGTTGATTAAATCAATAAACAGTTAATAATAGAGTTGATTAAATCAATAAACAGTTAACAGTAGAGTTGATTAAATCAATAAACAGTTAATAATAGAGTTGATTAAATCAATAAACAGTTAATAATAGTTGATTAAATCAATAAACAGTTAACAGTAGAGTTGATTAAATCAATAAACAGTTAATAATAGAGTTGATTAAATCAATAAACAGTTAATAATAGTTGATTAAATCAATAAACAGTTAATAATAGAGTTGATTAAATCAATAAACAGTTAATAGTAGAGTTGACTAAATCTACAAACAGTTAATAATAGTTGATTAAATCAATAAACAGTTAACAGTAGAGTTGATTAAATCTACAAACAGTTAATAACAGAGTTGATTAAATCTACAAACATTTAATAGTAGAGTTGATTAAACCTACAAACAGTTAATAGTAGAGTTGATTAAATCAATAAACAGTTAATAGTGGAGTTGATTAAATCAATAAACAGTTAATAATAGAGTTGATTAAATCAATAAACAGTTAACAGTAGAGTTGATTAAATCAATAAACAGTCAATAACAGAGTTGATTAAATCTACAAACAGTTAGTAGTAGAGTTGGTTAAATCAATAAACAGTTAATAGTAGAGTTGATTAAATCAATAAACAGTTAATAATAGTTGATTGAATCAATAAATAGTTAATAATAGAGTTGATTAAATCAATAAACAGTTAATAATAGAGTTGATTAAATCAATAAAGTTAATAATAGTTGATTAAATCAATAAACAGTTAATAACAGAGTTGATTGAATCAATAAAGTTAATAATAGTTGATTGAATCAATAAAGTTAATAATAGAGTTGATTGAATCAATAAACAGTTAATATTAGTTGATTGAATCAATAAACAGTTAATATTAGTTGATTGAATCAATAAACAGAAGTTCATAGTTAAGTACAAAGCTACACAATGGGCTGTCTATACTGTGCCCACCACAGGTATCAAAACCCAGTTTCTAGCATTATCACTGTGCCACTGGAAGACATAAACAGAAGTTTATATAAATAATCCGATTGTAATAGAATGTGATGGTCACTTTTTTTTTTGTCTGTGTGCGTATATATTCTCAAATAGTGCTGATTTAGGCCAAGCAGCTTTTGTTAAATAGTGTGTTCCTTCCAAGTAAGATTAACCCACAATAGAAACTGGTCATGTTGAAAAAGTGATCATTACTAACAGGTATTTAATAATATAATCACATTTAGAACTTTACACATTTGGCTGGCAGAATGTTAAATTGCTGTGAAAATTAAGTTCATTATGTAGCATATAACAGTATGCCATTGTTTGTAATTGGTAGTTTGGCCTTAATGTAGAATTTTTCTAAGACAGAAATAGCATAGGTAAGGTCTAGAAAGTTGGGTTAGATGTATTTAAATGGAGGCTTTACATACGAAAAATTTTAATGATTTGTGCACAAAATATTTTCTTAATTACATTTTTTTTCATGAAATTGCTTCTACAATATTCATTGTATTTCTTTTTGCTAACTAATGTGTCAGACATAAATGGTGGTGTGCTCTTTAAATTGTTCGCATGAGATTTAGATGGGTCACTTCTGACCATATGTTTCTGGTAATCTGAATTATACTAGAATGCATTATAATAGGTTGTGTGTGAAGAAACTAAGGTATTCTACATTCAGTGTATCCAATTTTATATGTCGCCAGTTGAGGAAAATGTTGAGTTTGCTTTAAGAGCCTAGGGGTTAAATATTATATTCTACAATTGTGATTTTCTGTAGATCGCAAATGATTAACAGTTTTAGAACCTAATTTAATCAAAATTGTTGCCTTCTATAGTCTTCTAATTGTGGTGGTGGCTGGGGCAGCTTACAGTGTTACTTCCTAGCTGGAACAAAATAAACACCCCCCCCCCCCCCATTCCACACACACTTGTGGTGCTCAGCCCCTGTGGCCTTCATCTTAACGATCATACTAAAATAATATTGAAACCTAATCCAATCAAGAATGGATTCACATGATATATATTTATTATATGTTAAATGTCCCGCTGTGTATTGTTAAAGTTTTTGCTATGTACATCAATGATTTATATTGATATATTTACAAAACACATTTAATAAGACATTAAATAAATGTTCATCCAATTGTATTCTTGGTAATAATATTAAAAATAAAGATGTCTTAGAAAACTGTGGATAGGGGTACGTTTATTAGAATCAGAAAATGTTTTCCGTCAAACTTAGAAAAGAAATATGGATATTAGGTGGTGCAATAAGAGATCATAAAATAAAATCAATGTGTTTTGTACTTTTGTAGTACTTCTAATAACAATACATTTCAATTATAATTAAATATAGAGGTTTAAAAAATGTGATCAGTGTAATATTAAAGAATTGGCTATGGCTTACTTTAAATAAGATTTTTTTAAAGTTTGATTTCTGATGATCATTGATTTATTCCTATATATGGACTATCTGCTAATTGTTTTATTGGTTCATCAGGAAATACACCAATTACATCAGTTTCATTGTGTGAAAAGTGGATTTTTCCAATAAAACACAAGTTGGGAATTGTAAATCCAATTGGGTCTGCATATGATGTGGTACTATTTCTGTTAAAAATATGTTATTATAATTTGGGGCAGAAGTAGCAGGTGAGCATATTTAGTATGTTTTGGTGGAAAGTAACAAAACCCAACCATTTTTCAGGGATGAAGAAAGATCTATCTCCTGAAAATCAACAGGTTATTAAGTTGCTTGTTTTGTGATTTATTAATATCGTTGAATGTACTGAGGAAAACAAAGTATTCTAGTAACAATATGAATTATATTTGTACACACCGATTTTATGTTCAAAATATTAAAACTATTTCATCAGGTGGAAAAAAATACAGTTTTCCTTACAGGTAATAGTTACTTTTCTCACCTTATTGAATTGTATATTACAGCTTTAAATAATGCATTATGCTAAAAGCAACACAATTGTTTAATTGAATAATTATTATTGTATATGAACACTATGTAATATTTTTCTCACCTTATCTAATTATATATTTCAACTTTAGATAATGTAACACACAATTGTTTAATTGGGTAGTTATAACTACAAACTAACAAAGTATTTACTGGTGACATTTTTCATGCAATTAAATGAGATGCTTATTGTAAACCAATTCTTAATACTAATATTAGTTTATTTATGTGAAATATTAAACAAGCAGATCACCACATGTACCATTTTGAAACAACTAGTTTAATTATTCCTTCACTTTTGTTATACATATTAATAATGATGTTATTCATCTACCCCTAGTGTCTGGTTTGTGTTCAAGTTCTTTTAAAGTATACAGTTCTACAAGACCACCTGCTACTTGGATAATTCTTCTTAGATGATTTATTACAAATATATGAATTTTGTTTTTTATGATTATTTTTATAGAGCATAGCTCAAATGTTTTAGTAGTCTTTCAGATCATTATCGATCACCACGTTGAAGCTGTAATGGTTATTAATTAATGTAGTTTCTAAACAACACAAATAAAAATAAATCTAACACAAGGTTTTGGCCTCAATTATTTATAACAAATATTAATGATTACTATACATATAGGAGTGAAGTTAATTGCACTATTTTTATTTTTTTTTGTTATCAATCGATTGTTTTCCGACATGAGGTAGAGTTTGTTTTGAGCAAAACTTTTTAATCTGTTATAAAACAGAAACTGGCCTTCTCATACATTTTCAATTCTTTTCAAAATTTAAGAAAGGACTTGATATGAGAAATGTCCAACTCTCACATTTCTGCTACTGATATCTTGCAACTTCTTGGTTGGCAAATGATCCATGGTCAGATGAGGATATCGCTTCTATATCTTGTTTAAATCAAGAGATTACAATCCTACCACCAAACAAGGAATCTTTTCTCAAACAGATTTCTGAAATATTAATCTTTTAATTTTTCAGTCATAAAATTTCTTTAAAGTGATTTACCAAAAAATAATTCTTAACCATGATCTTTTATGTCACATAACACAGATACTTGCAGATCTAAAAAAGAAAAGTTTTATAATGTAGACTAGTAGTATAAATAGGTGACCACTGAATACAGCAAATCAGCTACTGCTCTCTTTTGAAGTGATTTATATGTAAGTTTGTTGAATAAATTCCAATATTGTAAAATGGGATGATACAAGTTATACTCGGTTGTTATTTTTCAAAGAATGAACGAAAAAAAAAGGGTGGGGACACTGTGTCAAACTTTTTGCATCAGCATTGGCCAGTAAAACCTTTTCCTGAAACAATTCATAATAATGAAATTTTATGCACTCAAACTTATTTTACAAAAGCAAATGTTCAGTGCATAATCTGAAGTTTCACAAGTCAATACATAATTTACATTCGTTATCAACACATGTTGTGAAGGATTTAACAGAAGTGACTCATTTCAGCATCCAACTGTCTTCAGTACAATAAATGTATATTACTGGTAGAGGAAGTATATGCACCAGTTGCTTGTAGGCTTCAGAAAAGAATGCTTAAGTTGGCTATTACCAATTTTTTTTTCTTGTAAAGGTTATTGCTTATGAAAGTCTAATTTTCTTCTTCTTCTGTTTTGTGACAATACTACAGTCACTGGTAATGGACACTGTGCTTTTCTTTTCACTACTCACAACTTCTTGTCCAGTAGTGGGCATTTTGCATGCCTTTAATAGCCACTGGTCTGATGGCTGAAGCTGGGACGCACCTCCCATGAATAACACTCCTTTTCCTGGTAATTTCCTGGACACTAGAATGTACACCAGTAAAACACTATGTGATTTTCTTGTTTTAAGTTCTTTTTAATCAAGCCCAAAACAAACGTCTATTTAATAATTAAATTTAATTAGCAAAACAGTATCATTAACATATTTAATGTGTAGAGAATTTTCTGGCAAGAATTATTCAATACTGTAATATAATAATTTAAACTACTATGCATGCTACAAACAAAAAAATAATTTCTATTAAGTTGGTGTTTCCAAATATTCTAATGATGTCTATTATACTAGCTGGAGTACCTGTCCCCTGAACAGAAGTTATATAAATTCATGATTAATGAAAGGTTATCTCAGGACATGAAAAGTTGCTTCCCT